TAAAATCTGGGCATTTATATGTTATACTTCTTTATGTGTTCTAGTACTTATTTTAGTGGTGATAGTGGGAGGGCCAAGAGAGTTCTATTTCTTTGGTACTAGAAATCAAACTCAGGGCCTCAGGCTTGTCAGGCAGGTGCCCCAAGAGTTCTGTTTCTTAGGGATACTCCAAAACTTGCTACATAGGTATGCTTTTGTTTTAGTTTAGTGATAGGAAAACAGTAGGTAGAGTAGAGGAAAGAAATGTATGTACATCTGGAGACATGTACATACATGTATGTATATGTACCAGACATACATATATACGACTTCATGGGTTCAGTAGACATGGGACTTTTAAAAATTAATAAATATTTTAAAATGTTAATATGACAAAAAGCCTAAGTTTATTTTCTGCCACAAATTCCTAGTTCTTCTTTGTCCCACTCTAAACCATCACTATTAATGATTTCTTGTGTATTTCTCTCCAAATTTTTTTACATATATAATCACATATATTTAGTAGAAATGTCCTATAGTTTTCAAACTTACTCTTGATATAGCTTGGAGATATTTCTATAGTAGTAGATATTGTCCATCTCATTTTTAATCAGACTGAATGTCCTGCCTGGTGTAAATGAACATAGTGTGATTTTACCCATGATTTGCCATTCTTTATTAACAGACATTTAGATTTTTTTAACCTTCAACAAACAATTCCTTAATGAATAATTTGTAAAACATACTTTGCATTAGTTTATATATCAGGAGTATAATTTCTAGTGTGTGACTGTGAGGTTTGGGGACTTGTGAAAATTTATTTCAGTTGTATATTTGGTTTTATTTTATAACAAAATTAACTATCTCAGGCTTTTTTTGTTTTTGTTATTTTTTGAAAGAGGATCTTGCTATGTAGTTCAGCTTCCCCTTGAATTCATGATGTAGCCCAGGCTGATCTTGAACTCATAGTAATCTTCCTGCCTCAGCTTCTCAAGTGCTGGGGCTACTGGGGTGCACCACCACATCTGTTAGAAGGGATTTCTTAGATTTTTTTTGTGTGTATGTGATAGTGCTGGAGATTGAACTCAGGGTTTTTACACTGAGTGACGTCCCTGTCCCTTTTTAAAATTTTTGAGATAGTCTTGCTAAATTGGTAAGATTCCCAGGCTAGAGTTGATTTTGTTATCCTTCTGCTTCAGCCTTCTAGAATGCTAGGAGTACAGATATGTGTCACCAAGCCTGGCCCATTTAGTATGTATTCTTTACTCATGTCTTCATTTAAAAAAATATTTTTTTGTGAATGTATTTTATGAGGCAATTTAGGTTATTTTAGAGAAACAGATGGTTAATTTAATTTGTTCTAGTAAAACAACTATGTAGTTTGAATGGTAGTATGTCATATAAGACCATTTATATTTGATACTTGTTAAGTGGCTGCATCTTATAGTAGGTTGTTTCAGAATTTTGTGTTCTATGTCAGTTAAAAACATTGAAATAGTTTAACATTTTGCCTTCCTGAAGTCTGCTAGTATTGTTATAAGAGAAACAAATAGCTCACCTTTGTTTCATTTTTCCTATCCTAGTCTATTGAGATCCAGAAGTTCTTTTGCAACTCAGAGTGCTATTGATGGATTAATTTCTCAAGGCAGGAAGGAGGTACAGATTTGGTCTTTATTCTGCAGTGTTTTTGAGCAAAGTAAAGTGTCAATTATTCATATTAATGTAAAAAATAGGTCATTTATGGCCAGGAGAGGGTACAGGACCCTTGTCCTTTTTGAAATAAGAGAGACTGGAGGAAAATAAAATTAGTACTGCAAGTCAAAAGTATGATGAAGTTGAAACCTCGTGAGTGGCAGTTTCCCTGGCTGGTGCCCAGGGTCTATTTTTGAGGCTTTGTTAAAGGCTGCCTGACAGAACCTACCACACAACTGTAATCTGGCCAAGCCCTGTGGCAAGTCAGGAAGGCCTGTGGCTTAGGAAAAGTGTCAGCCATAGAAAAGGGAGTTACAAGGAACATTTGCCTTCAGAAGATTAAGGCTAAGTTTTGGGGTGAGAATCAGCTTAGTGTGTATATATCATGGGATCCAGCTTTTTTTTTTTTTTAAAGGGAAAGATTAAAAAAAAACTAGGGGAGAAAGTTTTTTAAGAAAAATATGCACAAGGAAGAGCATAGGATTGTCCCAGCATTGATATTATGTTCTAGTTATATGAGAATGCTTGCCAAGGGTCAGCTAAATGTTATATAACAGGAAGAAACATTACTGTTTCTATCTTAGGGAGGCTATACCTTAAATTGAAGTAGCAGTTCTATCCATAGCTTTAATTTATACTTGTCACTGGGATTATAAAGACTCTTGGAATGGTGGGCTAATTAACAGGATTATTTTGATTTTAAATAGGTAAATTAGGTTCTTTCCAAATTCTCATTTTGGTTATTATTTATTTATTTATTTATTTATCTTGAGATAGAATCTTACTATGTAGTTCATTCATTCTGGCCTTGAACTCACAATCTTCCTGCCTCTGTCTCTTAACTACTATAATTTTTAAGGCATATATCATCAGCACTCAGCTGTTTACTCTTAGATTATTACCAGCTGCTGTTTGCCCGCAGAATTGTCTCTCTGGGCCATGTGGTACCACATGAAAACTTTCATGTTTTCTATATTTAGTGAATGGAACTTTAGGGTTTAAAGTTCTTTAGCTGATCTCACTTAAGCTAGAAAGCTGTTAAAACTTTATATTCTCCCTTGAGCAAAGTTCACATCAACGTATTTAACTGCATTTTTCTACTGTTTCATAGTCAAGGGTGTTCAAAGAGCTCAGCATACAGACTTAATTATATTCTCAAACACTTCCTTTTCTCTTTGTTGAAATTAGGTTCCCACTCCAGAATATTTAGGTTTTTCTTACCCTCAAAAATTTGGATTGTTAACATTTTATGATAATGTATTTAGGATTTATTGTGAGGAGAAAAAATAAAATGTAGTTTTATTTTTTCTTCCTTGCTGCTATTGTGTTTTTTTCTATCACCCCTTCTTAAATTCAGCCTTCCCTTCCTAGAAAAACAGAAAATGAAAAATGAAGTAGACAGAGACTGGTTAAAAGTGGGGAAACCTTTAAAAGACATATGATTATGTTTTATTTTTTCAGAGGGGTAATTTTTTTTTTTTTTTTCAGCTTGCTTGCTTTCTTTCTTTTGCAGTACCAGGGATATGAACTCAGGATCCTACGCTTGCCAGGCAAGTGCTTATTCTATTGAGCTATCTCCATGGGCCCCCAGAGGGATAATTTTAAACTCTCCATTAAAGAATCATGTTTTGTCTTTTTCTATCACAATATTTTCGTTTTGGAGCCTTAATAGTCTCTCATTATGAAAGCCAGATTTTTAGCTAGTTCCTGATACAATGTTCACTTCTTTAGGAAACATATTTAAGTTACTTGTTTTGAATACATTGTTGTTCTTACAGCCCCACTTTTCAGGTAGAAAGATT